GGGGCGGGGCGGGGTGAGGTCCCGAGTGGGGGGGCTGCGCGCCCCCACGACCCGGCCTGGAGGGGCGGGGGACGCTGTGGCGGCGTTTGACTGTTTCTTCCATTTTTTATAGGAATGCAGTCGAGACACCTTTTCTGCTGTGCCGCCTTGACAGGGTTGACGCAGCCGTGCGAGCTGCCGGGCCGCCCCGCCTGCCCCCTCACGCCCCGCTGCTCAAGCCGCCCCGCGGCCCCTGCCCTGTCGCGCGAGTGCAGCAAGGCAGCGATGGCCTTGCGGTCCGGCCTCCGTCGCTGGGCAGAGCGCCCTGCAAAGTCAGCCCCCTTCCTCGCCGCCGGTCCTCCCGGCACAGATGCTCGGGGTCGTTAGCCCTCCACCCGCTGGAGACGTTTGAGTGGATTTGCTGGGCCTGACTAGGAACAAAGACGCCTATTCAGGTGTTTGCGGAAAGGTCACTTTTCCCTTCACGCGGGTAGATGCAGGAGGGCTCGCTGAGCTGCAGGGTCAGTGTGTTAAACGCTTCCCGCTGGCTGTTCGCCCCGCCCCGCAACGTGTCGGCTCCCGCCGCAGGGTGTGGGGTCCGGCTGCCCCGCATCCTGGCAATACTGGGTATTGCGTCCGCAATTCTACCCCCAGGGGGTGTGCCCGCGTGGTGTCTTTGTGTCATTTGCATTTCCCTAATGACCCCATGAAGTTGAATATTTTTTCATGTGCTCAGTTGCAACCCATGTATCTTCTTTAGCAAAGTGCTTTTTCAATATTTCTGCCCATTTAAAAAATCGTTTCCTGGGCCGGCCGAGTGGCGCATTGGTTAAGAACTGGCTTGGGACGCCAGAGGGCCCCAGTTCCGATTCCACAAATGAGGGCCAGTGACACTGCCCTCTACAGCTAAGATGCTGAACAACAGCTCAACCTGGAGCTGGGATGCCATGAGTCGCCGTGAACGGCATAGGCTGCAGCCCCTGTGGCAGTGGGTTGCCATGGGCTACCGTGTGTAGCCAGCAGCCAGCGTGAGCGGCCAGCAGCCGCAGTGAGCGG